TCGATAAATAAAATAACATAAAAAAAAAATATATATTTTTGTCAATAAAAAAAAGGATAAAAAATAATTTCAACCCGTAAAACTCTAATAACAAAATTTTAAGTATATACGAATAATTAATCGGAACGGAAATGTTACTATTGAATAAGTTTTTTTTTACAACAATTAAACCTTAAATATTTTATTAGTTTCGTTTTTTTGAATTACTTGTGAATTTAAAATGAGGTGCACTTTAACCCATACTTTATGGATTAACACGTATCTGTCGATATATATATATATATAACATTTCGTACAAAAGTTGATTATAAAATCGGTAAACAAAGTATTTTGAATGGAAAGGTGAATTCAAAGATGCCAAAAAACTCTTATTAAGAAAGTCTTCTTGAATTTGAAAAAAGGCAGATTACAAACAAACAAAATTTATGAATTAAAAATGATATATTGATCTTTACAAAAAATTTATTAAACATGTTGAAAACTTTTCATTAAATATGACTTCCAGTATAGCGGGTCATCTACATAAATTTTATCAAATATTACGTATACACATGTGTATTATGTATTAAATAACGAAATAAAGTAATCTTGATGACGCAAAATTTATGAAACTATCAATCAATTGAAAGTTTATCACTATCGTTAAGGAAAAATTTCACTGAATTTAAAAAACTACTAAAATCTGTCTAATAATGAAACAAAAAATTGATTAAATATTAGTCACATTTTCAATAACGTTAAAATTTTAGTGTATTTTTTGTTAAAGTTAACTGTTAATATTCACGTCCCATTGATTCTGGTCCGATTGATCAACATCTGAAATTCTTTGATTTGTAATCATTTGTAATCATCCGGTCCCATGTCTTCTGGCGTCATTACATCGGATCCAATGGGAACCTGGCGCGAAAAATACCAAATATACAATCAAAGACATGTGTATATGTGATATTCTAAATACATGTGACCATGCCAATATTTACTACTATAAACAAAAAAATTAAAGCATCAAACTTTACATGGATTGGTAGATCACCATCATTTGGCGTAATGTTTGATTTTGTCATATGAAACATCATTTGATCTTCATGGTCGCACAGAATAAATTTAAATTGTCCAGAAAATGATTCCGGTATTTAATTTTCCTTTTTTTTAAAAAAAAAAAAAAAAAAAAATTTTTTTTTTGAACATTTTTGTGAAAAAATATCTAAATTTACCTTTAAAAAAATTTCAATTATTTTTTGGATAAAAGATGTCAAAACTAAATAAAGATGTTCTTTACTTAATATTTGAAGGATTACAAGATGATTCGAAATCTCTCTTTTCATGTCTAATGGTCAATAGACTTTGGTGTCAAACTGTGGTTCCAATTTTATGGAGAAATCCTTGGTGCTATGATATTAATTATTACACTAAAAAATATTTATTTGCAATTATTTCTTCTTACTTGTCTGATGATGTTAAAGAATCCCTAACGAGACAAGGAATTCAACTATTGACAGTTTCACGTCAACTACTTTTGTTTGATTATTTATCTTTTTGTAGAAGCATTAATGTTTATACTTTAAACGTTATAACTTCTATTGGATCATCTTTATCTTATAATAAATTTATTTTACAACAAGAATTTTATGGCATCTTTATGAAAAAATTCCCAGAATTAAAGTATTTGGATATGAGATTCATTAAACATCAAATATTTTATTTACCAGAAGCTAAGCTTCGTTTTGAATCACTTTGTGAATTAAAATGTGACACTTCGATAGATTCTTCATATTTTCATGGATTGGCATGGCAATGTCAATATATACAGAGACTCATTATTGATAATGTAGATTCAGAAAATGATTATCACGGGATTGTTAAATTAATTAAAGTTCAGAAAAATTTAAAGTATTTTGAATGGAATGATGATTATGATACTTTATATGTTCCTGGGCCAGATCAAGATTCTTACAAAGAGATTCTTTTTGCAATAGATAAAAAGGTAGATACTATCAACCATTTAAAATTAGACTTCTTATTTAGATGTCCCACATTGTACAAAGTACTCCCGAAATTTTATAAACTAAAAACATTGATAGTTAATATTGAGCCTTTAAGTGAAGAGCAATTAAAAATGTGTGTTTTTCGTGATCTCGAAATCTTTAGAATAGGTTATTACGAATTAAAAGCAGCTTCTATTATAATTGAAAATACTGGAGGTCATCTAAAGAAAATTTTTTTAGGATCACCCTATGAGCTTGATGAATATGTAAGGAATTTTGATGATGATTCCCTCATTTTTATTCGTAAAGTTTATGAAAAATGTCTTTCAATTGAATATTTGTCTCTTATATTTCCACCATCAAAAGAACATTTTAATGAATTTGAAAAATTACTAAAAATTTGTCAAAATTTGAAGTCATTATTATTAGCCATACATATAAATGATGATGTACTACCTGAAGAAGAACTACTTATAGAAAATGAAGAGATATTAAAAATATTAATTAGATCATCACCAACTAACTTGAAAGAAATTAGATTTATTTGTGATGTTGAATTTTCTTTGGAAACTTTGGAGGAATTTTTAGAAAAATGGAAAGGTCGACCTGCACTTTCCATACTTACATCCAATTATATTTATAGAGAAAAAAATTATAAAAAATTGATTAATAAATATAAAAATAATGGAGTAATTAAAGATTTTATATGCGACTATTTTGAAAAAATAGTAAATATGGACTTTAAGATATAAAATATTATGTATTACATTTTGTTATAAAAATATTTGTTTGATTATATATTTTATCAGAAATAATTACTTTGTAATTTGTTATTTCATTTTAAATTACTTAATATGAAATATATTTTAATAAATAAAAATGATTATAAGTTTATATTGTTCATTATTATATTTGTGGTTTATTATGTAATTGAGACATCTCGCTCTATCCTTTTATTAATAAGCTGTACAAGTGAAAAAAAAAAAGATTAAAAGTGTTGATAATAATACATACCCATTATGAAAAATTTTTTTTTTTGCCAATAATAAGTATGAAAATAATTTCAAATCATAAAACTTAATTTAAAAGGATTTAATTAGTAAAAATCATATAACACGAGAAAAACATTGAATGAGTTTGTTTTAACGAAAATTAAATACCAAATATTAAACTTAGGCTTCACTTGAATCACTATTTGCAAATTTAAAATGTATGCATCATAGTCTCCATAATTTTATGTAGCACGTATCTGTCAAACAGTATAATGAACTTTAGTTGTCATCACCAATGCAGAAACAAAAATTAATCATGAGTCGAATATTTGATTTGAAATTTATTATATATTAACAGAAAACTATTAGTAGATTGTAATTCTTTGATCAGATAATCTCAATCTTCTACAAACAAATACTCACAAAATTTGATAGTTCTTATCGAGAATTGGTTAAACATGCTAATCTATCTGTCTTATATTTCATCAAATGCGAATTTTATTATGATTAAAAACAGCACGCGAAAACAATTACGTAGCTATATAATGGATAAAAAGTATCTATTCAATGTGAATTTATTTTTATTTTCTTGTTGAAAGATAATTCTATATGAAGGCGGACCATATTATGATTGGATCTTCCTAAGATCAATCATATGTGAATTTTCGGCAGTTGACTCGTGGAGACAGTTAAAACCTTATGTATTATTATTGAATTGAAGATAATTTAACGAAGGTGAATTATAATCCTAACATTAGGAAAATCTTGCTTGGAATTAAAGCACCCAAAAAAAGTTAAATTTTTAAACGGAATTTTTGATGAATCAAAAAATAAATTAAAGGTACTTGATTTTTAAATTTACTCGTATAAGAAGACCTTTTTTTAATTAGTAAACTTTTGTAAACTTTTAGATTTAAATAATTTAAATAAAATTGTAAAATATCCAAGTATAAAAATGTTATTTGGATTATTTGATTATTTAAAAGCCAATTATACATTTCTTGTGAATTGTGATTACGATAATATGTTGCTTTCTTACAATATATATATATAGAATAATTAATCCTATTGATAAATAATTCAAAAATATACAATCTTTTTATTAAAGAAAATACAATATTTACACACAATTTGGAATCCAAAATACATCTTATTCCTGATTCAGAAAGATGCCCTTTCAGATATTAAATTCCTTAGACGTAATACTTGTATAAGTTATTACGTTTTAGATTGGTTAACAGAAAAATGTAAATTGATTGATGAATTAAAATTTATTGTTGATATGTATGTCCAAAAATAGTAATTACGTTTTTCTAAACTTGGTTAATATTTGTTACATAAAACAATTATAATAACTATTTTTTTATGATAATCCATCATTTTGCAAAATTTTTTGTTTAAGCTTACTTGTATAAGTATTGGCCAAGCCTTAGATTGCAGATTGAAAAAATAAATTTAAATGGTCGATCTAAGCTATTTACAGTCAAGGAAATTTTTCTTTCTGGAAACGGAATTTTATAAACAATAATTATACAGTATATTAACTTTAAATATGCGTAAGCTCATTAAAAGTTTTTAATCCACTTAATTTCATCATAAGCTTACATTAAGTAATTAAGCTACCAAATACCAATTATACTATATCTAATAAATAATAGTATTTAATTCACTAAATCATCAACCTTACTTTCACCGTCAATATATCTAAATATAATATCAGCAATATAAATATTATTTAAAATGTATAGTATAATATCAAATTATGTTTAATATAGTACCTCTGTATTGAATTAGATACTTCCAAATCGATTAATTAAGAGTCAAACTATTAAATCAATAAAAAGTTAATTAATAGTTATTTAAGTAAGAATAAAATTTTAAAAATAGAAAATACCTTCATTATTAACACATGATGTAGTACATAACAAACATAATCTCAAATTTGTATACTATATTCTTTATGTACTTAGATCCACTTTAATTTTTCCAGATCTACCTTTTTTAGGACTTCATACTATCCTAAATGTTGTATAATTATAATAAGGGGATATGTGTAGGGTTGGATTATTCTGGTCCGGTTCAACATCCCACCATAAATAATCTTAAATCTCAATTGCATATATTTGATGAATATCTAGTTGAAAACTTCCACAGCTTAGTCCGAAAGAATACATCTGGAAAAGTGACAGCTGGAGAATGGTTAAGGCGTAATGCAATTTTTATTGATTATAATCGATAATAATGAATTTGCATGGTCTTTTGCATCCAAAAGATCATATCCATATACAAAAAAGAATCTGGATTTGATGATATAACGTGCAGCAATATTACTTCTACAATTTTTTGAGAAATTTGGATTAATCAAGGAAAGGCAGAAAGAAGAATAGAAGAAGCAAGAATCAAAAAAATATACTATTATATTCCACCATTTGCTAAAAGATTACCTATTGAAGCGCTACCCATGGCTATAGTTCTTTTCACACACAAATTCAAGACCAATTTTGTGATTACTGTAATAATAATTTTAATAATTATGGATAAGTACTCAACTGCGGACATGCATATCATCAAGAATGTTTTATGAAGTTGGGATCAAAATGCATCTATTGCTATGAATATTTATCATCATCTATTGATAAATTAACAAGATCATTTAATGAACGCTTACAAATAGAATCTGACATTGAGAATGAATTCGACATACCATCTTCTGATGATATTTCACTTGAACAGGCAGAAAAAGTCGAATGTAACAATAATAAAGATATAGATAATAAACTAGAAGAAACAATTTCAGGTATTAAATAGTAATTATATATATGTTTAACTAACTTGAAATTGTCTTTATAATTATAGAAAACTTATAGAATTTGTATTTTATAGAATTTTGTATACTATAGATTTTTTTTACAATAAATGTATTGATTTTGATTGACTCATTATTCACGTGAAACCTTGTCATGTGAAATCTGACCAATAAATGGGATTTTTAACTATGCTATAATACTAAGTCACTGCCTTACTGGGGTGATTTTTTTTTAGTATTTGTCTTTTTTTTTTTAACCTGAAAAGCATTACTGTAGTTATGGAACTACTTAAAGAAACTTTTGAGGATGAGCGAAAATTTGAAAATTTTATACAAGACGTTTCTAGTACCTTACACTCCTTACAGGTATGGTTTAAATATTATGCCATATTTTATGTCACATTAATATATATTTGTATGATATTCCAGAGATTACCAACAAAGAATTCCAAGACGTCAGAATGGGAGTCCAAAATGTTTGGAAATGAATATAAACAGAGTGACAATCCCAGTTGCCACTATATGGAATGCTCTTGCCCTCTTCTATACGATCAACATTGGCAAACCTCTGAAATATTTGACTTCTCTCAATCAGCAGACAAAATGGCTGTTTTAACATCAAAACGAGTTGTTGAAGTGGATAATGATTTTAGAGCCAATACCCAAGGACCTGTTACTCAAGAACCTGCCACTCAAGAAACAATAATGGCCGACAGTAATAAGTGTATCATGGAAGTCGAAGTGCCAGAAAATTGTAAAGTCCTCATTCAGAGCATCGCTAATAGGAAACAAGAGTGCCAGAAAACAATTAATAAAGCCACATCAGAAAGTCAATTTAGAGAATTATCATCTCTTTCCTCAGAATGCGAATGGGAATTTGAAAAAGAATCAGAAGCCCTGGCAGTTAGGGTGTTGTGCCAAGATGTGCACATTGTTCCAACTAGCATCACAGAAACCCAAGCTACCAATCAAAACACATGCAATAATGACAACAACACAAGAAATGCAACCAATTTGCATGAATTGCCTCATGATCATGAACCACAGCAAGATCTGGTTTCACTTCTTAAGTTACTAAATAATAAATATCCATATCGCATTGAAACAAACAAAAATGTTTTGACTAATGTTGAGATCCGACTCTTTGCTGGAATGTATGGCATTACTGATTTTCATCTCATTCTTGTAACATGTGATTCTTCAGTCTTTTGGCTAGAAGATCCTGACAGCATCATTTATTTTTGGTCTCGCATAGATGATAGCATGATACGCGGAGGAAATAATCTGAAAGATGCTTTAACAAATTATCTTTTTCATCAGGAAAATCTTTATTATGTTGATGAGATTACTCATGAATTGGTACCAATAAATGCATATGATAAAGAAGCTGAAGAATGGGCAAAATCACCCGAAGCTTATTTTGATATTGATGAAATTAAGGCATCACTAAAGTATGAATCAAAAATGGGTGGAAAAAGGAAACAACAAAAAAAGAAAAAGAAAAAAAAGAAAAAAAAGAAACATTGACATGAAAATAATTCCGGTTTGTTTGATTTTAACACTTATTATACAATTAAATCTCATATATTCATGTATCTTATCATTTGTAGAGTAGGTTTTATTGGTAATTTGTATAAAAGCACTGTACAAGTAGTATTTGAAAAATAATAAAAATGAATGCAATTTATTAGAATTGTAGTAAATAATATATGTTTTATCCTTTGCAATTAAGAAAGGATAAGCAAAACATATGATGTTATCAAAGAAGGAGGGAGAATGCAGATCCTAGGCCATTCCCAGCATCAAGTTATTTCTTTGCTCTCTCACATTTATGTAGTATCTGTAATTTTTTTCTATCACTATATCTAACTACAAGATTCCCAAATACGAAATAACCTATATTTACAAGATCCCGCCAATATAAATCACTCTTACCAATACAGATTATATAGTAATTTTCAATTTTAGCTAAGTTCCGCAAGACAATTTTCAAGAGATTGAATAATTTCAAATCTACAGCATAAATTGGAAGATTAGCAACTGATGTAAAAAAGTAACTAATGTAATGTTACTGATTCACACTTACCATTACTTCTCATTGATTTTTAAGAAATTTGATGCATAATTTTTATCACCAGTATGATATTGCAAAGAATTTTGCACATGAAGATGTTTATATTTTTTGATGTACTGCGCAAGGCTTTTGCTGTGCCATTGCATGAGATGAGATTCATCATTTATGTGAATAATTTTACTGTGCTATTATACACATGATATTGTCAAGGAATTTTTCAGTGATCAAAATGCTGATATATAACAAGAAGAGTAATATGTCCATTTTATTTTGAAACATCTATAGAGATAGGAAATCGATTAACATCATAATGACATGTCTCAAGAAGCTAGCCAAACAATAAACCAACTTACATTATTATTATTTTACAGAAAATACAAGTTTGATTGATTAGAGATATTGTTGATGCAAATAATGGTAAGTTAGATTGGTTTGATTAGACTTGTTTGATTTATTTTACTTGCATGAGGCAGATAAAGGATTTACTAGTTGGGATACCTTTTTATACAATTTGCAGGATCAATCTTGGAATACACTTTGGGAAAAATTATGTTAATATGATCATATCACAAAAATCTGATCAATGGATCCCCTTAATTTAACAATAAAGAATTTAATGCTATCCATATATAAAGATCATCAAGGGGCTATACATAATTTTGAGAATGTGTAAGAAAGTTTGAGAATAAATTATTTCGAGCAATTACTTGTTTCCATAATGATTACTATAATATAACTGTACATTGATTTATCAAGTTATAATAAAACTTGTTCAAAAAATAATAGTATAAAACTTGTTTCATACAATCCCACAACCAACTTCATGCAAAAAAATTATAAAATGTCTGATAAATTTGCACCATTTCTTTATTGATCAAATTATCCAAGCCTCAAAGGACATTCACATCACTTAAATATTCCTTCTGCGACCTTTTTGCACCTTTTGCAATACAGATATGAGTAATGATCATATTCTTCACAAACCTTACAACCACGCTTCCATCCCCTCATTTTCAAATTAGTTCTGCTAGCACTCCTCCCTTGATCTGTTGATCTGCTGGAGATGACTTACCTAATAACTTTTCCTGATAGCATATCCTATTGGTTTTTTTTTTTTCAAATGTATATGAGAAAAAAACTTAATAAAGTCACAATTTTTCATGTACAGTATAAATAATAAGCAAGAAAACAAGGGTTAAATTGTTACTTGCCATGTCATTTGATAATCATGAAGGCTCTTCACAATAGAAGCAGAATAAGCAGAATCATAAAGAGTGGATCTACTGATGTTAGTGATATATCATCAATCAATCTGCAGGGTAAGAAAGAAAAAATCTATGATCCATTACCTCTGATAATTTTAACAGATTTTCTATGATATAATACTGTACATTTCAGGTGATCGGACCACATGACTGGTTCATGCTACAATTGCAAACTTGAGTTTATTGCTTGCAGTGTTGCAGGTAAGACAATATTCCAACTTATCTTGGGATAGTAACTTTGCTAACTTGGGATCATAAGGAAGCTGTTTCCCATTTTTGCAGTACCATGAGCCATGTAATCCATAATTCCCATGTTTTCCATCACAAATAGGGCATAGTGAGCTCCACAGCTGAGGCAATATGAAATTATAATTATCAATCCCTCTAAAACTATTTTGGAATTCCAAGTATGGGAAGTGCTCTAAGACTGATTTTATAATTAATTCTGGATCAGGTTTGACTTCAAAAGTGATAGGCCCTTTTTCTTCACATTGTTCAGAAAAAGATAAATAGGATACTTTGTTTTCTGGCCTCGGATTTATGAGAAGGCTGGCTTCTGATGCATGTGCTTCTGATAATTGCCATGGCTCATGTCCAGTTTCTTTTTTATATTTTCTATATAAACTGGAACGAATCTTGTCTGTCAAAACACTTGGTAATCCAGTTAATTTTGCTTGCCAATCCAGATACTCAGGGTTAATACTTTATCGGACTTGCTCATATTGCCTATTATATGACTGTAAACCTATAAATTCTAATTTAGTTAAGTTTTATAGTTTGTGATAATTATTGTTTTTGGGTTCTACAGCATATTAAGCTTCTCTAGTATTGTGTAGGATCGTTTCTATTGTGAAATTCGAGGAGAACAATTAATTGAATTGTGCAGTTCTATGGTAATATCATCTTTTTCAATAAATTTTTTCTTTTTTTCAAGGGATTTTTCAATGTAAAATAAAGTTACATTATTAAAGCATATATTCTATTTTTCAGGACTTCTACTAGTATCTAAAGATCGAATGCAAGTTGATTCCATTAATACTACTAAATAGATTTATTTTCTTTAGCGAAGGGATTTTCTTTTAATAAATTATTTCTGAATGTTATTATTTGACTCAGCCTTTCGAAAAAGTGTTATCAATAATTTCATGAGATCACGTCGTCAAATGTTGTATAGTACTAAATTGTTAACTGCGTAGTAACAAATCACAGGCTTCTGCAAAGTGCAAATTGATTTCATTTTTATTATTAATTTTAGGCGCCCTAATCTATTTCGGTCAAAATGATTTTGTTAGCTGCCAGGATTATTATGTGTACCGACGTACTGGTGACCAATCTTTTTTAAATACTTTTTTTTACCATTTCTTATAGAATAAAAATTTTTCTGATAATATTTTTTTTTATTTTTCGGTTCTTTTTTTTCAAAACTGAAAATTTTATTTTGATTTTCAGTTTTAATACCGAAAATAATTTTTTTAAATTATTTTTTCAGTTTAAACCAAAAAATAATTTTTTTAATTAGTTTTATTTTCAGTTGCTGAAAAATTTTTTATTATCATTTATTTTTGATTTTGTGATCTTTTTCTTATGTTAAATAGATTTTTTTATTATTATACATTTTGTTGAATTTTTGTTTATTAATTATCAATAATAACTAATAATGTCAATAAAGAAGGATTTTTTATTATTACGTTTTTTATTGTTCATTTTTTATTGCAATTTTTTTTTGTTACTATCTCCATTCTCTAAAAAGTTGTAGTAAATTTTAATGATATAAATAAAAAAATTTGATTATATTGATTATAAATTATAAATCGGATATGCTTCCATAATACTAATGTAATACAATATATGAAAGAAATATGGCAACTGCTTGAACAGTGCAAAAAAGATTATGTAAAGTAAGATAAGCCTGTAACAGAAAAAGAAAAAAGGCCATGGGTATAAATTTGTATATTACCATAAATTAATCCTATTGTAACGCAATAGGTTACAGCAGCTAGTGCATTATAGAGTAATTAAGCTATCAACTATAGCTAATAAATATTTAATTCACTAAATCATCAACCTTACTTTCATCGTCAATATCTAAATATCAGCAATACAAATATTGTTAGAATATTTAAAATGTATAGTATAATATTAATTATGTTTAATATAGTACCTCTTAATTGTATTGAATTAGATACTTCCAAGTCGATTAATTGAGAGTCACAAACTATTAAAACAATAAAGTTAATAATAATTTAAGTAAAAATAAAAATTTTAAAAATAAAAATACCTTCATTATTAATATATGATGTGATAATGGATGAATTAACAGGTTTTGATAATAAATTGCTAAATGTAAACGCTCTACTAGTAAATACAGCATCAGAATTCTTTTCATATGAAGTTGAGATGTTTGGTATTTCTTTATCAGCTTCTTCAAATGCTGCTTTGATTTCTTTTCCTTTATAACCGAATTTTTCTACTACACTATAACTACCTTCAATAGAATTTTTCCAAAACTTAAATATATCGTATAATTCAAAAGCTGTTGGTCTTTCATTTGGATTAGCATTCATGCATTTATAAGCTAATTTCTTGTAAAATTCAGGAGTTCCTTTTCCAAATTCTGGTCTGAGTCCATTACATATGGCTAATGCTAAGCTTAAATCATGTTTTTTATTGTAAAAAGGTGGTTTTCCTGATGATAATTCAGCCATAATTACACCTACACTATAAATATCAGATGATGATGTATATGGTTCTCCGTTTAAGATTTCTGGTGCAATATATGGCATTACTCCATAAACTTTACCATCTGATTTTTGTTCATTTGCTGGTCCTGATAATCCAAAGTCTGAAATATAAGTAGCGCTAGCTAGTAAAATATTCCCACTATGAAAATCTTTATGGCAATATCCTAATTCATGTAAATCATCTACGTCTATGAGTGCAATATATAAATACATAATTTTTGTTCCCCACATAATTTTGTTAAAGTTATTTGAAAGAGTACTTCTCAAATTTCCTTTATCAGCAAATTGTATAATCATCATAAATTCTTTAGTTTCTGGGCATTTAGTTAATCCATAAAATTTTAATCCATGTTTATTAGAAATTTCCCAATGTATTTTAAGCTATATTTTAATAAAATAAAAAATAAAATGATTTAATATTAAACACCTAAATGAAATAAATTAAATAAGATACAAAATAGTATAAAAACGTACTTCATTTAAATATTTATCTGACATATTCTGTGATCCATTCAGCCTTTTCAAGGCAATTTCCATAGATTCGGGTTCTTTTTTTTTCCAACTTCCATCATAATTTGATTTACCATCAATCCAAGTTGCAGTATATACTTTGGCGAATCCACCTTCACCAATTTCTTTTATATCTGTAAATCTATCAAATGGTACCCATTCAAGAATATTATAACTATATACTTGCTTATACATTGTATCTTTTATAAACTTATCAATATCTGAATTTCCACTGGTCCATCCTTCTATTTTTCTAAATGGGTCACATTCTTTACACCATGATTCTTCAGTAAAAGGTTTGTTACAATATGAACAACTTTTGTGATTGGAATCTTCACCTGAGATATTTAATTTACTAAATTCGGTTTCCATTAGGTTATTTTCGTAATATACAGTATTCAAAAAAAAAAGAACTTTTTTTTTGAACGAAAATTTTTTTTTTTTTTTATATTTACAAAGAGTTACTAAAAAAGATCAAAAGCGGGATTACTCCGATCATTGCACCAGGTGATCAGTTATTTCGGGCCGTAATTTTTCCGATTCATTGATCTACCTTTTTTTAGATTTCGAGACGTCATCAAAAATTCTATTATTATTTATAATTCTAAAATTTTTTTTATTATAATTTATAATAGTTTATTTATGAAAGCAACAGCGCGATCGTAAATGTTAATTCAAATTTGAAAAAAATAAAAGTTCTAGTCAACCTTATAATTAGGGAGTAAACTAAATTGGTATTTTTATTTTATTTTTTTCTAAAATTCTTGAGCAGTAAATATTGTTTATATATGAGTAAATATGAAATAAAGAATAATTACCAAGATCATATTAACATATTTTATGAAAGAAAACAAAAAATTACGTAATTAACTAAATTTACACAGGATATCTAAACCAAATTTTGTAGTTTCACATGTTTAAAAATTTTCTATTATGGTTATGTCAGCTGTGTGTCAATATCATCATAATTTGTGCATTATTTTTTTGCTCTTTTGTTATTATTTTTTTTTACTAAAACTTTGTACTCTTAATCATATAACAAGACGTCTAATGAAGTTTCTTTCTTGAACAATATCGATATATTGTCAACATTTCTTTTAATAATCAAAATTTTTGCTAATATTTCAGATTCACTTTTGTTCTTTTTTTGCTTTATATGCTCTTCAGTTACATGACATATTTTAAAAGTAGTCTAATCAAATGAATTTATTTTCTGTCCTCATAGTAGGCTTCTAAATTAAACTTATCAAGACAATCATCGCTGTACTTTAAATGGCAAAGTTGAGATAGTAATAATTTGATGGGACGATACTTAGTAATTGATTGGGAATCAACTTTTTGACATTTTATAAACAATGGAATCAAATTTCAAATTTCAAGAAACAAAGTAAAAAAAAAAAAATAAGCCAACAATTGAAACAAATGAAAAATTTCTTGTTTATCTGTAATAAAATAAAAAATTAGCAAAAAAAAAAAAAATATATTTTTTTCTATTGTGAAATTAGGTAAATTCTGTTTTGTGATAGTGGTGGTTTTTTAGCATGATACTAAACAAATAACGTTCTATTCTTTTCTAGGAATAATGGCTTTATTATTCAAATCTAGAAGTTACGTGTAGATGTATTATTTTCAGAAGGTTTTACAGTAAAGTATCGTGTTTTTTTTTTCTTATTTAGGAATAAAATACACTACTTTGTTATTTTTAATGGTAATGTTTTGTTAGAAGTTATTAGTTGCTACAATAAATTATTTAACTAGGTACGGTTCTATCACTCACTTCTATGTGAAATTTAGGAAGGCTACTTCGGTATAGTTACGGTAAAGTTACTAAGGGTTATTGTTTTTTTTTTTTACATTATTTTTTTCAATTTAATAAGCTTTTTTTTCTTCCTTATAAATTCATGAGGAATATTTTAAAGCTTATATTGAAAAGATTTAAGGGAAAATATAACAAAGAAGCAGAAAATGGAAACGAAGAAACGCTATATAATTTAAGTACTTACAAATTGGGAGAGAAGAATTGAAAAAAAAATGAATTTAAAACTTTTTGAATTTTATTTTTTATTATATGTGAACGAAAAGGTTGGATTATTTTAACAATTTATTCAAATCAATATTTTTTATAAATTTTAATAATTTAATGAAGGAACTTATTAATTATTATATACGGACATGCGAACATTTCATCTTTATAAATAAAATTGCGAGGTTTTTTATTATTCATGGTAAATTGATAATTTCACGTGTCTTATTAATTTTATACTTTACAATTTAACTATCATGTAAACAATTGAATTTCCCAAAGAATAAACTAGTAATTATACAGACATGTGATTACTGACATGTGACTTATATATTAGTTGCGCTGTAAATAATTTTTTTTTTAAAAAAAAAAAAATCTTTATATTGTATAACCGAAAAAATATAAAATTATAATTTCAATTATTATCGTTATGAATCTTATAAACTTTAACTATAAAATTCCATTATTGAAATTTAAATCCATACAAATTTGGGTAATTTAAGTCGTGAAATATCAGGTATTGTTTTCTTAATCTGCGATTACCACCACCACGGCCTTTAAAATTTTTATTATGGTAAAGTATTTTAGTAGTTTCTCTATATATAACTCAAAATTGGCATTTTAACCTATCTTTAATCTTTTTTTGTAATTAATAAGAATTGTATAATGATAAAAAATACATATCAGTAATTCTAAAATTTTTGACACGCAAAACGCCCAATTTTTTAACATTTCTCTATTATATAACTTAAAATCGGCATTTTTAACCTATCTTTTATAATTAATAAAAATCGTAGAATAATAAAAAATACATATAATTCTAAATTTTGGGATTTATATAATAAATGTATCATGTACACGCCTAATTTTTATATCCAATTGTAACGATTTTGACAGTATCTCTATCACTCTATGTACAACTCAAAAAATCGGCATTTTTATCCTATCATTTATAATTAATGAAAGTTATAGAGTTGACAAAATAACTTATAATGATTGACTATAAAAGGTTTAACTTATGTAATACTGAAAATATTAAAAAAGTATAGAAAAGTCAAAAAAAGTCTCGTGTTACATAAATCATTGCTTCTAATTAGAGATCTACATGATGCATTTTCTTCGATTTCATATGAAAAAAAAAGCACTAACAGCTAACATCACTTTTACCATTATACTAACCTCATTTTTTAACAATTAAACTTTTTATTATTTTAATATATTAAATTATATCATGTTTTATTCTTTTTTGAAAATATCATTATAATTACAATAATGACGATAAGTTTAAAGTATCTTTCGATAAAAAGAAAAATAAAAATTTTTGTGGCACAGCAATTGTTGTTATCTGATTGGTACAATTATTATTATTACCGACAAAAAAATCCATTTTCAATAAATAATAGTTTGATTACTAAAATAAATTTGATTATAAATCGTTATTATAATTAAATTTTTAGAAACTCATTTTATTATGTATCATAAAATTATTTTTTTTCCGGTACATCACATTTCAAAACATCGTCGATAAATAATAATTTTATGATTAAAAAAAATAAATTTTCATTTTAAACTAAAATTGAAACTAAAATTGGTTAGTATTAAATTTGATTATCACTAAATAAAAATTTGTCTGGTAAGATTTACGGCATATCAAATTTCAAATATCGTTGATGAATAATAATTTTACGATTTACCAAATTAAAAAAAAAATTTGCTTTAACTGAATTTGAATGAATTTTCATTTTAAACTAAAAATAGGTTAATTTTAACATTAAACGCCAATTACTTTTTCAAAATGAATACTTGAACAGTATGATATTACGTTAAACTATATTCGGTGTATTTTTAATTTTGACCGGAATTAAGATTATCGAATTTTAATACTGGCCAAAATTAAGTTTACCAACTTAATTAATCATGTGTTCAATAATTAGGCGCAATCACTATCAACATAATATGTTGTCACAATTGCCGATATTATACTTTCTAACTCTCCCTTCGATATCAACGATATGTCTTGTTCAAAAATATTTTCAGGTGATTTACCTGAATTAATATATGAAATCATAAAATATTTTCGGGATGATTATTCAACTTTACATTCATGTGTTTTAGTTAACAGGTTATGGTGTCGTTTTGCGATTCCATTATTATGGGAAAATACATTTTCATTTCCTACAAAAAATTATAATGTTGTTGAAATTTATTTTCATAATTTAGAAGATGATTTAAAAACAGAATTAAATGAATATAAAATTAATAAAAATCCATTACCTTCAAATACATTATTTAATTATCCTAGTTTTTTAAAATATATGAATACAAGAAAAGTTATTTCTTCAATTGGAATGTGGAGATTTAAAAGAACTTCAATAGTTGGAAATAGATATTTTTCAAGAGATAATTTTAGAAAATCAATTTCTATGGCATTATTTAAAATATTTATTGATAATGAAATAAATTTACATACTTTTGAAATTGAGATAAATGCTTCTTTTGGTACATATTGTGATAATGTTCTTGAATTAATTTTACAAAATCCAAATTTTATTCATAATATTAAAAATTTAAACCTTTCTATCATTTCTTTAAATACACAAATTAAAAATCGTATATCACAAATAATTAATTCTCATCAAAATCTTAAAAAAATTATGTTTAGACGTGATTTTTCATCTTTATATCAACCTTTATTATTATCTAAATGTTTTAATTGTTCTAATACTTTAAATACAATCATTTTTTATTATATTGATTTTAAGAATATAAATAATTTAGATAATATATTTGAAAAATTATGTGTATTAGAATCTGTTCATATAATTTATTGTTCTGGTTTTACTCAACAAATTATTAATTTAACTAGACCATTTAAATTAAAATCTTTATTATTAGATAAAAGATCACAAATTGATGATTCATTATTATTATTATTACAAAAATCTGGTAATTATTTAGAAAATTTTGGTTTTAGTTCTGGTTATAATTTATCTTTATTATTTAAACAACAATTAATTAATTTATTTGAATTAATACCAAAATATTCTAAAAATATTAAATTTCTTAATTTATGTAAAATTGAACCTCATATTAATTCTTTAATATTTAATTTAATTGAAAGTATTAAAAATAATTTAAATTATCTTTCAATTTATTTTTGTTTACCAAATTATAATGTTGAATATATTAGTTCAATTATTTTACAAAATTTAGGTCAAATCCTTCCTTTTAAATTAGAATATTTAAATTTGGCTCTTAATATTAATATAATTGATTTTGAAATTTTCTTAAAAAATTCTCAAAATACTTTCTTTAAAAAATTATTAATTAATAATATAACACCAAAATATTGTCATGATATTGATATTTTACCTTTTATAAAAGAATATATTATGAAAAAGAAAAAAGTTAAAAATTTAGCTATTAAAAATACTTTTACTTCTGAACATCATATGAAAAGTGGTGATTTATCAAATTCAAAAGATGAATTGGAAGAATTTAAATTTTATAATATTAGAGTACAAAGTTATAATGAATTATTTATTGATATTAATACTTTTATAATGGATATTGATTAAAATTGTATTAAAATATAGGAACATTTCAATTTTTTATAAATAAAAAAAAATAATTAATAATTATGAAAATTTGGTAGAAATTTTGTGATTTTATAAATTTAAAAATCAGTAAAAAGTGGAGTAAAAACAAAACTTGTTAGGGAAGCAAAAAATTATTAATAAATTCATGTTATACAGTAATTGGATGAATATGGAGAAAGAGAAAACACTTTACTACACCTTTATCACATTTACCTTTTCCTCATATACTGTAACAAGGATAAGGATTTATCAGGTAAATACAAATTAGAAGCATTAAAATTAGAAGTTTTTTAATGATAAATATTTCAAATTTAATTGTAGTTACGCTTACGTAAATATAAATGTGACATAATGTTATAAAGTATAAACGCGAAAAAAATACTTATGTCTTGAAATAAAATAAATGTACGAAATCACAACAGCTTTCATGATATCACATGTAATAAACCCATCTTATAAGAACAGGTAATATCATATGTATATCTAATACAACTAAAAAAAACTACTTTTTAAATGTTACTTGATTTTTGTGAATACCGTATACACGTATACATAGTGTCTTGATAAAGTCCTTTCATCTCGTTAGGAAGATCAACTGTTCTGCTTGATATTCATTACCAATAGTAAAAGAATAATCAGCTTTTAATAAATCACTCCTTTCTCTTGTTGATTTTCTAACTAAAAGATTTAAATTATTGTGATTTTAATATAAAAGTGAAATAAAATGACAAATATACTGACCTTATTTCTTGTTTGTATAATGTGGATATAGAACCTCTTTGCTAGTTTCTCTAATCGTCTCTCCTACAATTTCATCCAAATAATAATTGGGACGTTCATTTATAACTCCACGTAAAATCTATAAAATAAAAATAAAAACATATAAATTTAATATTATTCCTTATCGCTTCTATATAGCAGACATGAAGTGAAAAAACAAAAAAGACAACCTTTATATGTTCATTAATCCGGTTCGTCCTCTTAATGGATTTACTATACATTTCCATTGCTGGTAAGTAAGTTTATAGTGTATAAAGGAACTTTAAAATCGAAGTATATATATTTTTATTTAATAATTTTACGTTTCATATACACGAAAATTGTGATAATTGTGGCTTAAAAAATTTTATAATAAAATCGGATCAACTAAAAAAACGGTATTTTTGGTATGTTTGTAAAATTATTTATTAATAAGAAAAATTAGATAATACAATTGCTATACACAGTAAAGCACGTTTATTTATCATAGAAATTATAATCAATCAACCCTATCTACTATAATATATATCCCTACTAGTTAAAATTAAAACAAAAAAATATTTATATCTCATATATTGAAGTTAATATTTACTACATTCATAAATGATTCACATCTAAAATCTTTAATTATTCCATTATTTTTATATTTATTAATCAATTTTACATAATTTTCTTCTTTATAAATAGGTCTACATGTAAGTATGGAAAGTATAGGTCGACCCCTCCATTTTTCTAAAAATTCTTCCAAAGCTTCCAAAGAAAATTCTACATCATAAAGAAATCTAATTTCTCTTAAATTAGTTGGTGCTGATCTGATTAATATTTTTAATAATTCTTCTCCATTTTCTAAAAGTAATTTTTTTTCAGGTTCTACTTCATTCATATATATTATTAAAAATAATGATTTCAAATTTTGACAAATTTTTAATAATTTTTCAAATTCATTAAAATGTTCCTTTGATGGTGGAAATACAAGTGATAAATATTCAACTAAAGGACAACTTTCATAAACTCTACGAATAAAAATACGTGAATCATCATCAAAATTATTTATATAATCATCAAGTTCATAAGATGATACAAAAAATATTTTCTTTAATTTCCCTCCACTATTTTCAATTATAATAGAAGCTGCTTTTAATTCATAATAATCTATTTCAAAGATTTCAAGATCACGATAAATAAAAAATTTTAATTGTTCTTCACTAAAAGGTCCAAAATCAGTTATTAATGTTTTTAATTTATGAAATTTTGGAAGTACCTTTTGTGATGTACGATCTTTATATATGAAGAATAATTTTAAATGGTTGATAGTATCTACCTTTTTTTCTAATGCAAGAAGAATCTCTTTATAAGGATCTGATCCGGTAGTGGGTAACCCATAATCATCTTCCCATTCAAAATATTTTAAATTTTTCTGTACCTTAATTAATTTAGCAATCGCATGATAAACTTGTGGGTTTACATTAACAACGATGAGTCTATGTATATGTTGACATATCCATGCCAGCCCATAAAAATATGAAGGGTCTATTGATGTGTCACATACTAATTCATAAAGTGATTCAAAACGAAACTTAGCTTCTGGAAAATAAAATATTTGATGTTTAATAGATTTCATATTCAAATACTTTAACTCTGGAAATTTCTTCATAAAGAGGCTATAAAATTCTTGTTGTAAAAGAAATTGATTATAAGTCATATAAGATCCAATAGAAGTTATACTTCTTATAGTCTTAACATTAATACTTCTACAAAAAGATAAATAATCAAATAAAAGTACTTGATATGAAACTAACGGTAATTGACTTCCTTGTTTCGTTAGAGATTCTTTAATATCATCTGATAAATAAGAAACAATAATTGCAAATAAATAACTTTTATTATAATACTTAATGTCATAACACCAAGGATTCCTCCATAAAATTGGAATTACAATTTCACACCAAGTTCTATTAACCATTAGACATGAAAAGAGGGATTTCGAATCATCTTGTAATTCTTCAAATATTAAGAAAAGAATATCTTTATTGAGTTTTGACATTTTTTTATCCAAAAATAACGAAAATTGATTTTTAAAAATAAATCTTCTATAATTGAAAATTTTTTCGGGTATTTATTATTACAAAATGTTATACAATAATTTTTCTTTCTTTTTTTTTTAAAAAAAAAAATAAAAAAGAAAGAAAAAAAATTTCAAAAAAAAGGAGTTAATAATAAATAGGCTCCCTGTGCGACCATTATGATGATCAGACGTTCCACATGACGTTCATGATCCAACTTCGGTTAAAAATATTAACATCTTTAATAAGGAAGTTTATCTTTAATATTTTAACTTAAGAATATTGATTTATTTAATTAATTGAATTAATAAATCTAATATAATCATTAAAAAATAATCATTATTATTTTTTACAATTATTATTGCAAATAATTTTATTACAGGCAATTTTATTTTTGAAAAATATATGTAATTAGAAAATTATGTAATCTTTATGGTGACATCGTTAACAATTCTAATACGTTCATTATTATCATCATATAATCATTATTACATATATTTATAATTGTCAAATGTTTTTGGTTCTAGCTCATATTTTGGTTCTTGCTACATCGGATGATCATTAATCGACGTAGCACCATATTATTCGAGTTCCGAACTCATTGTTTCCGGAACCGTTCCCCTGAGTATTGTTAAATAAGCATAAAAATATATAGAATAGAACGACACTTAATATAATAGAAGACATGAATCTGTAAATCTATAAACCATGATAAACTTGTGATACTGAAAGATAAGCTTAATATTTTTTTTTTTCAAAAAAAAATAATAGACTAATATAATAGTCTTTCAATACTGCATATACATGTGATTTATTTATACGATATGATGTGATAAGGGAATCATTCAAAATTCCGACGATCAGAATCCCGTTATTACAATTCCGACGATCAGATTCCCGTTATTACAATCCTGACCAAAAATTTAAAATCTCACACTCATTATCCCGAAATTTATTATCATTCTTTTTTTTTAAAAAAAAAAAAATTTTCAAACGTAATAATGTTATAACTATTAATATTTTTTATTGGTATGTAATAAATTTGAATGTTTCGCAAGAATTAACGTTTTTTATTTGTAAAATTTAAAATTTTTATATTAATACGTCATAAAAAATAAAGTAACAATTAAAAATATTTTTATTTTTTTTTATTTAATATTAAATATTTTAATAATTTTAATAATACTTTTGCAAATTTTAATATAATTTTTTTAAAATTTTTGTATTCATGAGGATATTATTGTCGGAAATGTCATGACTCGTGACTTTGAAATTTTGTGAAACGTCAGGTTTTGGGATTCCTGATCATCGGGATTTCGTAGTAAATCCGCAATAAGTAAGGTACGATGTGATCATAAATTTTGATCTTTGAGTATCATGTACAAACTTCCACAGCGTAATCACGAAAATTGTCCGGAATTATGACATTTTACCGGCACTAAGAAATCAACTATATGACAAATTATCGGCTTATAGAAAGTTGGTCATATGTCGGAATAAAAACTAGAAAAATGATCATTTATCGGAGTTTTTTCCAAAAGATTTTTTATGAGCGCGTGATTCACACTCCGTCCCCAGAATTTATAATAAAAATTAAAAAAAAGTGTAGAATGTGATGCAGCGTAATTTTATTAGCGTGATTTTATTACTCAGCAATATTAAATTTATTTTAGTTTAAATTCTGGCGGGTATGATCTTATGTAGATGGTTTCGTAACATACCTGCTGTAAATCTCGAAGTAATACAAAAAATATTTTAAAATTGTTTTGGCCAGATGATTTGACAAAATTAAATCCTGTTAATATAATTGACTGAAATAATCAATTTTTTAAAAAATAAGGCATTATGGTCTGCAAATAATTATCGTACATTCGTACCGTAAAATCGTACCTGATAAAAAAATACATAACAGCGCACTAAAATGACAAAACTATACCGTAACTAAAAATAGAATAACTCGAAATGAAGTTTCTGTTTGAGATTCTATTAGAGTATTTTTTCCAATGATATCCTAATAATAACCAGATTAAATTAATACATACTTATAAATTTTTAGTAATATGATATTTAAGTTAAAAATTTCAACCGTAGTGTAGAATACCATTTACGGCATTAGTAACTTTTACATTTTTTTATAGTATTTCCCAAAAGGTACAATCACATATTTACTAAAATATTGTGTCGAATATAACAAACTTTGTCTACAAATACTAAATCGGAAATCGGAACCTCAAATTGTGATTTTGATCAGTTAACAATTTCCTATTATAATTATACGCGACGCGTAACAATCATGAGTCATCTTTATGGAAAAACTTTTATACTCTATAAATTTATAAAGTATAAAAACTATAAAAACCCTCTATCCCTTTTCACTTATCACTTGTCCTTCTTCCTTCTTATTCTTTCTACCTTTTGCTCTTCTCTCTCTCACCTTTTTCCACTCTTGTTGTCTAGAACCACGGCTCTTCGGACGCCTCTTGGACAGGTAAACTTACGAAATTCTTTTTTTTTTTTTGTTTTTTTTTTTTTTTTTAGTGAAACGTTTACTAACGTTACGTTCGGCTTTCTCTTTTGTAGGTTACGGACGTCGTCTCTCCCCTTTCCTCTAGCCCATAGTCGTCCTTTTCACCGTCTGTCTATGGAAATATTTAAGTAGACTTCTAGGTATTTTGTTGGGACCATATTAACTTTTTTTTTTTTTGCAACAATAAAATTAATACGAGTACATATATAATATTTAGAAATATTTAGAGACGCCAACCAAATAGTTGTGCGACTCTATAGCACGAACAAGCAAATAAATAAATCTCGTTTTCTCACAATAACTATAACAAAAATTAAAAATTTATTTATTTTTTTTTTTTTTGTGCGTGGTTGTACCTAACGTGAAGAAATCTCAAAAAGAAAAAATTAAAATCAGTTCACAACCAACCCTAGCCCTATAAAAAACCCGTATCTGGAGAAAGTGTGATCAAACCAGACAAAATTACCAAACGGTTTACTCGCCCAGTTTTATCCCTCTTCTTTCTCACGGCCTTCCCTACAAAAAGTAAATCAATAAGTTTGTGAATTCTAAACTAATCAAGAACCACTATGTTAAACACTAAGCTAAAAGCAGTTCGACGCAATGATATGGTTGGTCTGGGAGGGTCGTCAATCCAAAATCCAGTTACTCAATTCTGCACCCTAATCATCGTCGTACCCGCATGAAATTTTGTTATCGGAAACTTTTTTTACGTGAAATCACGTGACTTCTATTGCGAGATCTCCTTCTTTCTGTCTTTTCTTTTCTCTTTCTCTCGCTCTCGAATCTCTCATCGCATTATTCTAGCTACTGCCGCTAGCGCTTCTGGACTGTTATAGGCTCCCTGTCTTAGGTCATTTTTCTCCTACCTCTCTCAAATCGTCGTACTAATCTCGTCTTTGAGTCATTTTGTGAAATAGTCGTTCAACATGGTGTATTCTTGCGAAATTTCACTTTGTTCCGCTTTTATAACCCATCCTCAAGAAGTTGTTATGTTTCATAGCCAGTCTTTCATCTGATCCAGGCTTCCTAGACCTTGTTCTTTGCTCAACGTGTACAAAGCCTCTGTTCTAATATGTTGCCATTCCATATCATTGGAAGTTGTTGTAAAGATCTCTTCCAGTTCCGTTAGCTTCGCTTTTACCTTCGAATTCCTTGCTGGACGCTTGGTATCGCACATACTCTATCTTTTTGGCCGCACGATAATACTTTATGACCTCCACAACTTTTTCTGGCGTAATATTATCTTATTTTAAAGGTGTTTTGGTCGAAGCTTCAGCCTTAACTACTCCCCATATTTGCTAACTCCATGTATATTCTGTCTGGAGGTGTCAGCGGCGTAGAAATGTTTGCCGATTAGTCAACTGGTGTTTGCATATCAGATGTTTTCATCTTCTTCTTTGAAACCCTTATATCATTTTGAAATTCTGCACCTTATATATCAGATCCGCACTATCTTTTTTCAGTGAAGTACCCACCGCCGTCTCCATCATTTCAGTAATTGCTCAGTAAAATACGCTATCACCTTCCAATTTTCCGTTATTTTAATGATGAAAGCTGCTTGGTCTTTATTAACTTTGTTTTCATCATCATACTTTAAACGTCTGGAAAGTAGTCTTTCGGGTATTTCGATGGAGCAGCATGATGCTATGCATGGGTGGGAGCATAGCATGCTTACTTTGTAAGCCTGTGAGTACCAGCTTTTGCTGCAGTCTCACAGTAGGGCTGGTTGGGAACTTGGAGCGGTATAGTAC